ATCCGATATTGGCAAAGCTGGGCATTAAGCGACCATTGCAAAAGCTCACGCTTGGCGGTCTATTGGCTGCCGTTGCTTTCCTGCTCTCTGCCTTCCTCGAAGTCAAACTGAATGAGGTTGATCCAATGCCACCGGCGGCGCTCGAGGCTCATTTGCGCATCTACAATGGTATGCCTTGTGCCTATCGCTTTGCCACAGAGTTACCGAATCGTCCAAGTGTTGTTGAACCGCTTGGCCTGTGGGAGGGCAAGACGTTGTCCGTGCCACAGTCATATCTGTATCCATTCAACGCAACGTCGGCAAGCGATCGCTGCAATAACTTTTCGGGTATTTTCCGGCTAACACCTGGCAAGGAGACGAGCTACTTTCTCTCTGGCGAAGGTATGCAAGAGTTCGTAGACTCATCGGCTAAGCCAAAGCTGGGTAATCCAATTGTACGCGTGCTATTGAATGTGCCGGACACGGAGAATGCCATCACTTTAACCGACGCAGTAGAGACGGCAGTGCCATTGGTCTTTCGCAATGCCACCCAAGTGGTGAATGTTGCGAATGGTGAAAGCGAGTTGCAAGTGGCGAACAAGAAAATCGCAAGCATAAATACGAAGGGTGGCGGTGTATATGCGCTGCTGGTGCATGGCAATGCCAGAGATGGTTTTGTGAGTATCAAATGACTTTTTGCTATGAATGAAAATTGTTTTTTTTTGTTTTCATTGTGCATTAATAACTTTCTTTTGCTTTTGTAGACCTCAAAATCGCACATCATCACACCGCCCAATAGCATTCATATTATGTGGCAACTACCGCAGATCATCGTCATCACAGCAGCCGAAATCATGTTCTCCGTGACGGGTTTGGAATTTTCATATACGCAGGCGCCGCCGAGTATGACGTCTGTCCTGCAGGCCTGCTGGCTACTGTCCGTCTCCATCGGCAATATGTTGGTAGTTGTTATTGCTGAACTGAAATTCTTCGACTCACAGGTTTGTTTCTTAAGTCTTTTGTTTGTCGCAGTTCTTAGCTAACAAAATTCGATCATTTTAGGCTGCCGAATTCGCGCTTTTTGCCGCACTCATGATTGTCGACATGTTCATTTTCGTCTTACTCACTATTCCATACAAATATGTGGAGCACGGCGAGGATCCTGAAGCTAATCAAGTAGTGGTTACACCCAATATCTCCAAGCAAAGAGAAGCCGAGCGAGAAACCTACATCGGCAATAGAGGAAATGGGCATTTCAATGAGGCTTACGAAGGAGAGCGTTAAACACATAGACTGCAGCTATATTTATTTTATGTATATGTAATTAAAATTTGATAGGTTTGCANATCGTCATCACAGCAGCCGAAATCATGTTCTCCGTGACGGGTTTGGAATTTTCATATACGCAGGCGCCACCGAGTATGACGTCTGTCCTGCAGGCCTGCTGGCTACTGTCCGTCTCCATCGGCAATATGTTGGTAGTTGTTATTGCTGAACTGAAATTCTTCGACTCACAGGTTTGTTTCTTAAGTCTTTTGTTTGTCGCAGTTCTTAGCTAACAAAATTCGATCATTTTAGGCTGCCGAATTCGCGCTTTTTGCCGCACTCATGATTGTCGACATGTTCATTTTCGTCCTACTCACTATTTCGTACAAATATGTGGAGCACGGCGAGGATCCTGAAGCTAATCAAGTAGTGGTTACGCCCAATATCTCCAAGCAAAGAGAAGCCGAGCGAGAAACCTACATCGGCAATAGAGGAAATGGGCACTTCAATGAGGCTTACGAAGGAGAGCGTTAAACACATAGACTGCAGCTATATTTATTTTATGTATATGTAATTAAAATTTGATAGGTTTGTTTTTTAAGTATTTGGCAAATTATTATACGCGTAGTTTTGTCGGCCAGCCAA